CGGATTCTTATTATACCCGGAACTTGAAGAGTAAATAGGCATTTTGTGGATGTATAAGGTATATAGATTCTTGATCAGTATCAACAGCCGAGTCTATATAGCCATGCTTATCTGCATGTTGAGTATGTTGCTGCTGGGAGAAAAGATAAAAAAGAGGTTTAGTTGTTTATTCCCAAGCCTTAGTCACGCCCAGATTACCCCATGTTGTGTCCGAACTCATCTAAAGGGTAGACCATGTACAAACATAATCAGTGGCATTCTCATTCGGCTGCATCAAGACACAACGAGCCTCTGCTCAGACTTAATTAAAATTCCATTGTGCGGCTTGCTTTAAATGCTTTTGTTCTTCTTGTTCTTGGTCTTGTGCATAGTCTAAGCCACATTCGCCCCTCGTTTCCCATTGCGATTGTTTCGGTTGAATGCTGGCTTTCAGGCGTAATATTGTTGGTGGCTGTGGCACACTTGAGACGGTGACTCAGTAAAAGTGAAGTTCATAACCTTGTCCTCTGAAGGCGACATTTGTGCATTCGGAGCCAACTTTCTCCTGCATACAGTTGACTTTTTTTGTGGTAATTACCCGGCATAAACAGAGGGGAAAGTGTGACAAAGAGAAAGGCAGGGAACCGCTTTCTGGTAATTGGCGCCTTTTGAGGCAGGCCGAAAGGACTTGGGCCACTAATTTCCAAAATTGCTCAAATAATTGGCCGGCATGATGCATTTAATTTCAAATTATCGTCCACCAACGCAAGCAACCAGCAGAGCCATACCCGGCAAACACCCATCTACCGTCCCACCAGCCCACCAACAACTGCAATTGGCAGCACTTCTGGGCGACCTTTTTTCTGTGCAGTTTCCCTTTGACTACTTTCGCCCAGCGGAGTCCTCTGAAAATTGTAATGGAGGATAGGATAGATTTTTGGACATATACATACACTCCCAATCAGACGAATAGACTCACAAGTTTTCAAAAAGAAAAAAATTGTCTAAAAATCCAGCTATGAATGATAGTGAAGCAAATTTATTTTTTCATTAATCAAGATTCTTTTCCTTATACAAAAATCAAGAATTCGACTTCTAAGTGACAAGGCTTTTCTTTATTAATTATTTTGTGTAATTACTAAAAAATAAGTCCCGTTTAAACGATCACTCGAATAGACTCAATGATTAATTTTAGGCAAAATCTTTCAAAAGCTTTAAATTAAATTTTTTTTTTGTGACCAGGCACCCTCCGTACTGCTTATATTGCAGTGCTTTGACCTTTTCTTGGCCTAGTCTATCGCATTGTCGATCGCATTTCCGAGCAGTCCAATTAATTCTTTATTTTCTATGTCCAACTCGAACCCGCTATTTTTTATAAACGAGCTCTAAATCATTGTACATTGTAACTCGCCGAATCGTAGTTCACGGCCAAGCCCCTTTAAATTGTATTTAATCTTCGAATAATAAACGAAAATAATAAAAACTAAATACGGAGAATAATTATCGTAAATGTGGAGTCAGAGTTGCCGAAAAAGCTCGGCAGCTTCCATCAAAGTGGATAAAAGACTCAAATTTTAAACTAATTTGGAAGTTTTTTTCTCTCCTGATCAGGATTTTACAGGGATCGCATGGGGATAGTTTTTACGTAAAGGATATGAATCCCGTCAACAATTTTATGAAGTTAAACCATTACATAATTGCATCAGACAGACTGCAGCGAGCTTTAATTTAACCCTTTGAAATCTCGTTAATTTTAATGTCCTGAAGGACATCACCAAGCAATTCCAAAAAATTTGTCCACAAACATTATTAGTTAAGCTCCAAACATCTCAAAAAAATATTAATTTAAAGCTTTTGAAAGATTTTTCCTTAAATTAATCATTGAGTCTATTCGAGTGATCGTTTAAATGGGCCTTATTTTTGGGGTACTACCCTTGTCCCTTATAAGTCGAATTCTTGATTTTTTAAATAAGGAAAAGAATCTTGATTACTGGAAAAATAGATTTGCTCCACTATCATTCTTAGGATTCTTATAAACTTTTTTCTCGTGAGTCTATTTGTTTGATTGGGAGTGTATGTACATACATACAGACTTTTCAACAAACAAAAAGTAAAAAAAATAAATTATAAATAATAAAACGAATAAGCAATACTAACAAAATGCCGTTTTAAAAAAAGAGTATTTAATGTTTTTATTTTAGCATATATTCGTAAAAATTTGTATATTTCCTTCCACTTTTTCTACAGTGTGGCTTACTTTTTTCCATTTTTCTTTCTTTTGCTTCAATTATACCAATTTGACCATTTGGACGCATTTATGGGAAAGAGTTAACAACGTTTCCATTTAACATGGCTTTAGAGCAGGGCTCGGTACGCAATGAATCGCACTTTTGCGCTTGTGTGCGAAGACAGCATGCAAATCGGAACCCCTAAATACATGGGTATTGACACGAATCACTGTAATACACGTGTACGTGAGGGGCAGAGCTTCCTGCTTTAGAGAGAGGGAAAGAGCAGAAGCCTAAGAGCCTTAGACAGTTAAGTAGTGGTTTTTCTCGAATTTTCGAAAACAATAATAAAACGAGAAGGGACATGTGAGACGCTTCTTACGCCTCACAACTTTTATACCCGGTACTCAGTACTACATCTGTACCTTGGACTTTTTTTTTCAAATTTTAAATATTTTCTACATCTGTCAACTACATCTACAGCACTTCTTACGCCAACACGATCTTTTAGCTCGACTCGGCTGTTGATGCTGATCAAGAATATAAATACTTTACGGGGTCGGATACGTTTCCTTGTCTGAGTTACATACATCCGTTATTCCCCACAAATACCCTATTTACTCTTCGAGTACCGGGTATAAAAAGATGTGAAGCGTCTCACACGTTCCTACTTGTTTTGTACTCGATTATCATTGATTTGCCAAATGCTTGGCCAAAAGTGAACAAGGATCTGAATCATGTAAATTCCCGGCCATGTGAAATCTTATTGAACCCGAATGCTTGATTTTACCAAAAAATATTTCAGCTTTAACTGTTTTTTTACTTTAACATTAGTTTCTCCCCAGTGCGCAAAACTTTCCCATTTGACAAACTGTAGGACTGATGCACACTGGGGTAAATCAGACGAACATGAGTGATTGACGTATCTTGTCATTTCAACGGCACGATGAGTGAGAAATTGAAATGCACAATTTCAATGGGTGTAGAAATTGTAGAGGATAGGAGGACAAGTTCAGCTCATACAAAATTTTCAACCAATTAGCCAGGAAAAGCGGAAGATTTTTTCCATGATGCGCACTTAAGCCAACACATTTGGAGTGCCCTGCATTTGGAAATAGTTGATTCGAAAAGATGATGACTAAAGTTCGTCGAATAAACGAAATGGAAATGAGGCTAGAATCAGCAGCCACTCTTAATATCCCCCTGAGAGACCCTTAAACATTTATTTCCATACATGCTTATGGCATACCTTTCTATGGCTTCATTTCGAAATGATTAGATTTCGATTTCGAAGCACTAAGAATTTTCCACTAGACATTCACCTTTTAAACTCCCTTTACTTCAAATGAAATTGGAAGATATTCGCACAGAAACTATTGACGAGAAGAAACATTTTTAGGCATTTTCAATTTTCTTCGCATTGTGGATAAATTGAATTTTGTGGCTAGCCTCAATTTCAGAGCTTTTGTCGTCGAATTGACATGTCGGTAACCTGGACCCATATCAAAATAAAGTTAGACATGTGTCGGTGGACTTGCAGAAGGAAGATTTGATTGGAGGCTGGACATATTCCAAGGGGATCTCGGCAACTTTTCTGGCTTAACTTGAGCTTAAGTCAACCTAATTAGCAATTCATTCAGTTGGAGATTAAACCCTTTTCCACCGTCTCAAAACTCTGAATCCAAAAGAACGCGCAGATTTGCCCGAATAATTTCCCACCACTTTGGCTAAAATCGTAAAAGAAAAAAGTGGCCAAGAAGTTTAAATTGAAGTACACGAAGGGCTTGACTCTGTCCAAAAGTTGTACCCAAATTGTGGACCATTTTCGGAACTTTTATATCTCGAGTTCCATCCAATTTTACTCAGGCTCACCATTAGGCAACTTTCTTATGGGGCAAAAAGAAGAGATAGTCGAAATTCACTAAATATATGTGTCACAGTGACTTTGGTCTTGGCCATGTTTTCGGCTCATTTCGTGGATAGTTGTTCTGAGACTTGTTTCACCTCGTGAGCTTTTGTAATCTCACTGTTTCTCGGGATCTCACTCCTCGGGATCTGCAAGTGCCTGTCCAGCAGCTAATTTGGTTTGCCACTCCAAGGGCAACGACAGCTGCTGGTGATCCAGTTTCCTCCTCGATTCGATCATCTCGAAGAATATGCAGCCAGTTACGACTGTAACTGTCGAGTCCGCTCCAAAGCCATGTTATATTCCATCTATTTCGATTCCACCAGCCAATAAACGATCCGGACTACCGGATATTGCCGTCACAGGTATCAGATTTGTGGGGCCAAAACCACTGGTTGGAGTCCCACCAAAGCTGCAAGTTTTTGTATCTCTTCTTGGTGGAGAAGTTTAACTTATCTTATGTCAGGGAGATAGCTTCATTCAAGATTAGCGTATCACCAACTCATTTCGAGACCATTTGCCCTTCCAAATTCTGGCCAGAGAACCTGGTTGTGAAAGAGCTTAAGGCTAAGAAGAAAAGTAGGGTCCCCATAACTCTTCCCAGTAGTCTTCCCCTGCTCCATCCACCTCTACCCACTGCAATTCCTCTCAGTCAAAAAACTGATTTCCCTCTTTGTAGCCTACTGCACACTGTTTATGGATAGTTTAACATTTTCATCCCACGTTATTGTGTTTACCGAAACCTGATTAAGCTCTGTGTCCAGTATAGGGACATTTCATTTCACTCTCGCTTGCAGTCAGATCTCAATAACTTTCAGTCATCGTGTTGTGCAAATATGTTTCACCCTAATCCCTCGAAATTCACAGTAAGGACATTTCAGCGCTGCAGCCTATTACTGGCTCCTTACACCCCCTGCGGTAGATTTCTTGAGAGAATTACATTGGTTGATAATCTTTGTGTTAAACTGGACCCCAAGTTAAAGTTTTCTGAACAAATTTCTACCATGGTAAATAAAGCCATGGGCGTGCTTGGGTTTATAAAGAGGTGGTCAAAGAAATTAGATGACCCCTATATAACGAAAACTCTCTATATCTCGGTTGTTCGTTCGATTTTAGAATATGGTGTCCCCAGTTCAACATACATCAGGACCGTATTGAATCAGTGCAGAAAAACTGGGATGCAACTGTGAGACATCCATCCTACCGTGGAAGATTACTTCTAATAAACCTTCCATCCTTAGGTTGCTGCCTTTCAATTTTTCTCTCAAATTATTTATAATGCATTGCACTGACCTTGACTGACCTCACCGCCAGAAGGGATTAAAACTGCTGCCTTGTCTCGGCGTTAAAAATCGAAAATTAATGCATCACTTTAACAGAGCGATGCTAGAAAGTAAAAGGGATATAAATTACAAACATAGTTAACTTCAACAGTGCTTGCCTTAAACTGTGAGATGCGCAGACTGGATTTTTTCAAAGTAAGTATGTATTGCAGTACCTGGGGCCAGCAGACAATAACGCAACACGTCAACACGGCGAGCAGTAACGTAACAGTCAACTTTACACTTTGTGCCTCAGCACTAAACAAATTTTGTGTCCTCATACACATTCAAATGGGAAACTTTTTTGATAGCCCGGGGCTACTGGGGAGAGAACTGTGAGAAAACGTGGCAGTAGTAATAACTGCATGTTTCTGATTTTCATACAGGTTTATTCAGTTCAGTTCAGAAAGCAGGCATAACAACGAAATGCTTTTCCGGACTACCGTGGAGCAGTGGAGTTAAACTTAAGTAAAACTGTCAAAAAGAACGTCGATATGCATACATATATACTTTAAAGTCGACTTGGATCTTTTTCTATCATCATATGATTTTGTTTGTCAGTATGACAGGGCGTATGAGCAATTTCTTAAATCCGATTAAAGTAAATCGACTCTGTCTCACATGATAAGAATTGAGTGATGAAGGAGCTATCACATTTGACTGGGTTTTTATTTATTTATACATTTTTATACCCGGTACTCGAAGAGTAAATAGGGTATATTGTATTTGTGTGAATAACGGTTGTATGTAACGCACAGAAGGAAACGTTTCCGACCCCATAAAGTATATATATTATTGATCAGCATCAAAAGCCGAGTCGATTGAGTCATGTCTGTCTGCCCGTCTGTCCGTCCGTCCGTCTGTCCGTCTTGTTTGTCGGCTAGTTCTCAGAGACAAAAAGAGCTAGAGCCACCAAATTTTGGCTCCAGACTGCTGTATGCTCACACTGAAACCAGTGTATTTAAAAACGCCATTCCGTAGGGAATGACCATATATATCAGATCACCAAATTGGGCTCCGATTGGATCATTATTATGGCCACAATGAAGAAATTAATTTGCAGTGGCTAAACCCACCCTGTCCCGCATCTTATATTTGTTTTTTTTTTCACATTCTCTCATTCACACTCTGCTTCGGCCTCTGCCTCTGCAGTGTGTTGGTCTAGGGAAGCCCGGCAAGCTAAAGGAGCGTGTTGGTGTGAGAAGTGTTGTAGATGTAGATGACAGATGAAGAAAAAATTTAAAATTTAACAAATAACCGCTAAGGTACAGATGTGGTACTGAGTGCCGGGTATAAAAGTTGTGACACGTAAGAAGCGTCTCACACGTCCCTTCTCGTTTTTGTTGTTGATATTTTTAATAAGATGCCAATTGACATTTCAAAATTATTAACCACTTGTTCCGCTGAGTCAATTTTATGGCCATTGTATTTGGCCCATACATCCACTGAAACACAATCTCATGAATAACCATCCACAAATGACACATACAAATGTACATAATTGTTGATGGAACGAATTTCAGTGACTTTTTGAGGGCGTTTTTAAATGCTTCAAGATGTTTTACAAGTTTTTTCCAAAATATTATTGAAATCTATTGAATATTTAATTTGTATACGTTGTCTGGTAGATATGGATTTACTTTTATCTGATGGAGCTGATTTGAACCAGCTGGAACAATGAAATCGTACTTTAAAATCCAACCAATCACAGTTGTTTTATCATTTAAAAAATATATAAAAAGAAAGTCCTAGAAAAATAAACCCAAAGACTATGAACCATATTGTTGTGCGTCTCACGCGTTTCAAATAAAAATGCCGTCAAGAAAATTCCACAGCGAGGAACGTGTTTATATGAATTTTATGCCAAAAGGAACACCATGTTCTTTATAGACATATGTGTGTGAGTGAATGTCTATGCATGTATGTATGTATTATCCTTGTTGATCACGTGCGGTGCAGCTTTTCGGGAAAACTAGTGTAGGCAGTAACAAGACTGTGACCTTTGACTGGGATTGCAGAAATGTCTAAACTGAAACAGTACAATGAGAATGACAGTAACTTTGTTTGCAAAGACAAGCCACAAAGAGATCCACAGAGAGAGAGAGAGAGAAAGTGACGGAAAAATAAAGAAAAAGATGGGTAAGTAGTGTAAGTGTAACTTAAAAGACAAGCGAGTCAGTGTCTGAGGGCATAAAACCAACACATATACGAATTACGAATGTTGTGGTTAAGGTGCAAAATATAATAATTTTGCATGGCAAATCACAAAAAGGGATTTATTTTTTTTATTGATTTGTCCGCTTAAGTGGATTGACTGGGTGCTGGTGACAAGGGTGGCTGTTAAAGTCAAAACATAATTCCATAGAAAAACGAGAAGAGATGCGTGAGACGCATCACAACTCTTATACCCGGTTCTCAGTACTACATCTGTACCATAGCTTTTTTTTTCTAGTTTTAAATTTTTTCTTCATCTGTCTAAATCTACAACTAATTAACTTCTCACGTCAAAACGCTCTTTTAGCTCGCCCCTAAGGTGATCTGATAGATATGGTCATTACCTTCAGAATGGGCTTCCAAATTGTGGATTTTCGCCTTTTGTGGGGGCCGAAGGAAGCGGGGCTCATTTTTTAAATACACTTGGAACAGTGTGAGCATACAAAAGTCTGGATGAAAAATTGGGTGACTCTAGCTTTTACAGTCTCTGAGATCCAGGCGCTCAATAAGTACGGGCGGACGGACAGACAGACATGGCTAAATCGACTCGGCTTTACACCCTATTTACTCTTCGAGTTCCGGGTATAAAAAGGCCATTTTCGTAAACATTTAATAAGGCTTGCTGAAAACTCATTACAAATTTTTAAAACATTCCAAAAGCCAGTGCAAACGTCTTTGGATTTTCTTTATCTAGTTAGGGAAAAATTAAGTGAAATTAAAAGGTCTCTGTAGCTTTTCTGCGTTAAGATATTTTAATATTTTTTTAAAATCTATTTTCTGTTTTATTGATATTAATGAGGTTCTCTTGCTTTTTATTGTGGAATGTTGGCCAAGAATATGTTAGGCTAGGATCAACATGCAACATTTTCATAAAAATTACAGTTTTCTATTTTCAAATGTAATATTTAACACAATCCTCTTTAAATTCTTTTAATATTTTCCTCTTCTTTCATTTTATCAAAATTTGTTTTTGCCAGTAATCACTTGATTATTTGGGTTGCCAAAGAAAATTTGTACCATTCTAGTTTTCCAGACATTTCTGCCTATGAAATAATGCCTTTCATATTTTGGCTTTGCACTTGGGTTTTTGGCAAATATTTGGCAAATGAATTAAGCTGACAATAATTTGTACAATAAGCATTCACATACATAAGCTTATTTATTTACGTAACCATCAAAAATACTATTCGTTTCCTGAAAATCTGTATAATTATTTTAGACCCCTCTTTAGACCCCTATTTTCCCCCTCTCTGGGTATTCCGACTTCAATGGAATAATCATGATTGCACAATTATTAAATAAATGTTTGTATAATAAATGTGTTTACACTTATAAAGGAGTGCAACACATATTAGTAATAGTTGAATTTCTATCTAAAATTGTATTATTTATTTTTATGTTTTTCGAAATTTTGCTAGTGCATTATTGACTCGTCATCGGGAATGTATTATTGCTTTCTTGGTTAATCCTAATTACAAATTATTCATATAATGCTTAAGGAGCATTTATTCTCTCCCCATACATAACATGGCTAAAAAAAACCTAAACGGTCACTTAATCACAATATTGCAAAGAAGTCTGGAATAGATTGTGGCATGCACTCGATTTCCTTTTCATACTTTTAAACCCTCTCGTCATTTCTGCATATTTATGTTTTGCGGACAATATTTTTGGTAAATTTCAATCGATGAGTGTATTAAGGGGGGAGATCTCTATAGATGCGTCATATTGACGCCAGTCCACAAGTGTCGAAAACAAATTATATATTGCGTCCTCTATTTTTTTATTTTGTCGAGTAGTGTTATCCGAGACTTCAAGGCTTATCTCGGTAGAAAACCGCCCTCCCACCAACGTATTTTATTAATGTTTCTAATCCCTAATTGGTATAACAAGCTCATCGGAATTTGGAATCTTCAATGGCCCAAATTTCCACCCATCCCAAGTCCCATCCCACCCATCCCTTCCCGAACACGGACACACATGCAGAATGTCGTTACGCATGACGGAATTGCAGTTGCAATTGCAGCAACAGTAGCAGAAATAGCAGCAGTTCCCCATTTACAAATTTCGAAGGATACGCAAAGACTAACTACGAGTACGCTCGTATGTATGTATGTGTGCTCCTCCCATTTTCGCAATCGTATTTTTACGAATTTACCAATTTTTACGGATGGATTTTCATGGGTAGTTTGGTGGCTTCCATTGCATGCTCTCTGCTCATTGATCGCACACTGCACGAAAGTTGAGAAATAATTAGTAAACTTTTAATTGGAAACTAGTACCCAATCACAAATCGATGCTCTGGCTAGCCCTGCTCTTGGTTTCTCTACAACACTTGATGCCAGTCCATCGAGTGGCGGTCCA